ACTTGTTAGAGAGTCCAAGGCTATTTGCTAGCGAGTCCAAGGTTTAGTTGTTAGCGAACTCAAGGTTTTGTTGTTAGTGAGTTTAAGGTTTAGTTGTTAGCGAGTCCAAGGTTTAGTTACTAGCGAACCCAAGGTTTTGTTGTAAGCGAGTCCAAGGTTTAGTTTTTGCGAGTCCAAGGTTTAGTTACTAGCGAACCCAAGGTTTTGTTGTAAGCGAGTCCAAGTTTTAGTTGTAAGCGAGTCCAAGGTTTAGTTGTAAGCGAGTCCAAGGTTTAGTTGGAAGCGAGTCCAAGGTTTAGTTGGAAGCGAGTCCAAGGTTTAGTTGTAAGCGAGTCCAAGGTTTATTTGTAGGCGAGTCCAAGGTTTAGTTGTAAGCGAGTCCAAGGTTTAGTTGGAAGCGAGTCCAAGGTTTAGTTGTAAGCGAGTCCAAGGTTTATTTGTAGGCGAGTCCAAGGTTTAGTTGTAAGCGAGTCCAAGGTTTAGTTGCTAGCGAACCCGAAACAAACCGTGGTGATGACCGAATCCGAACCAAAACGATCTTCTAAGAGGATTCGATTTCCTTCTATAGCAAGGAGGGACATGGAATAAGATCTTTCAATAGAATGTTTTTAATGTTGAGTTGTTTTTATTTCAATTAGCCAAGTGCATTGAATGTCTCTTTAAATGGCATTCATCAAAATATAATTCATTAACAGCATTCTTGAAAAATAAAAAAAAATAAATAAAAATAATAACTATAAAAATAATGTAAAAATAGTTGCGTGTGTAAACATGCTAGCTTTTAAAATAGCACAAGCATTTTCTGGGAACCACTTCCGGGTATTTTCCTGATCTTGCCGTTCTTTCGATTCCTGGAATTATCGCGCCTTGACGAAATGAACAAAACAAAATCCGTAATATCTCATCTTGTGTTTATTAATAACACAAAGACAAGGTGACATTTGGTAATTTCAGCACGAATTGTCCACATCATTCAGAAGTTTCAATGATATTGGTCACGATCACAACGAAATAAATATCATGAAATGTAAATCAATGTTTCGAAAAAAAAAATAATCAAAAGTTTTTTTTTTTTTTTTTTTTTTTAAATCATAAGAAAATGTAAAATAACCCTAAAAAGGAAAAACAAGGTGAAGGTTAATTTTTAGCCCCAGTCTGTAACCACCTTGTTACCCAGGTTTTTAAAAAAAAAAAAAAAAAAAAAATAAAACAATTTTTAAAAAAAAAAAAAAAAAAAAAATTTTTTTTTTTTTTTTTTTTTTTAAATCATACGAAAATGTCAAATAACCCTAAGAAGGAAAACCAAGGTGAAGGTTAAGTTTTAGCCCCAGGCTGTAACCACCTTGTTAGCCAGGTTTTGTAGAGCGAAGGATTGTATCTTCCGTTGGGAGCACTCTGTGGCACGCGTGATTAGCCCCCGTCCACGGTTGATTTTCTTCACATCACAATGAAGGAGAACCCTAGAGGGCGCCGCTACAAGCCTTCTCAAGCACAGTCAGCTCTATCTGAGCCGGCTAAGTTGATGGATGAAAACGGAAACGTCAAGCTGTGAGTCGCTCTACATCTCTGGATATTCCAATTACCGAGTTCAAGCACACTGGGAAAGGATTCTGAGGGTTCTGGAATACGACTTAAAGACATATTTCATACCAATGACCGCAAACGTTATTGGAGGCTCTCAAATTGATAAACCCCAAAAACCATTGTAAATCCATTACACCTACAAGCATATTTTTCGTTAATTTGTTTGAAATGACGACTTTTCGGTTTAAAAAATAAGACATACATAGATACACGAACGATTAGTGTTAAGAGTCAATAAAACTTTTTAAAAACATTACCAAATTTTACAAAAAGTTTTATTGCAAGAAATAAAATGACATAATCGGCATATAACCGGACCCGACAAAAAAAACTGAACAGTTGGTAAAAATAAAAAGAGTTTCATAAACCCCATACAGATCCGGGTATTTTGAGACAATACCCGGGGAGTCCGAGTCCGGGTGTTAAAAAATGAGTTATCTTCTAATTATCTAATGTGTTCCACCCAATGGCGAGAAGTGGAAATTCCATGTATAGAGGCAGTAGCTATCACTAACGTATCAAAGTTGAAGGCCTCAAAACACTAATAGCTCAATAATAGAATCCCAACCCAGCGGTTCTCAATCTTTTTAGTACCACAACGCCTCTATAATATTTTCAAAATTGTGGCAACCCTAAGCAGATTTATACCTTGAAATTGAGAAGGGGGGAGGGCAAAGCTTTATGGAAGATAAAAGTGTAGAGGGGGGTGGGGTGGAGGACAGCAGAAATACGGACCTTGGCTTAGAAGCTGAAAACTTTTAAACTTTAGTGGGGGGGGGGGGGGGAATAAAAAAACAAAGAACTAATAAACTTAAAATCTTTAATAACGATACTTCTTTTTTTTTAATGAAGCTTTAGTTTAGCTAGAGTAAAGTAACAATACAAAAAACTAGTCGGATATCTATATATAATATTTCAATATTCATTTTGAAAATTCAATTAATAAAAGATACAGTTGATACATACAACCGCCACCACGATTGTTCCACTTCTTCAATGAATGTTAAATGACATTAATGAGTTATTGAGTTATCTGACAGAACTAAGAAATTATCAACAACAACCACAGCAAAAAATTGTCTAATTAGCTTCATCAGCCAGATAGAATGTGAAATGAGATATTAATTGTAAAGAGGCAGTGCCATGGTCATCACCAAAGATATGTACGCTGATAAGACAAATCATTCAACACAATTACATGCTAAAATTATAAAAGTACATTATTATTTAAAGAGCTTTGCCGTTTCATTTAACTTACATTTGGTTTCATTGAGCTTAAATTTGGTTTCATTTCGCTTACAGTTGGTTTCATTTAGCTTACATTTGGTTTCATTTAGCTTATATTTGGTTTCATTGAGCTCACATTTGGTTTCATTTAGCCCATTTATGGTTACACGTAGCTGAAATTTTGTTTCATTTAGCTTACATTTGGAATCATTTAGCTTACATTTGGTTTTACTTAGTTTACATTTGGTTTCATTTAGCTTATATTTGGTTTAATTTAGCTTAAATTAGGTTTCATTGAGCTCACATTTGGTTTCATTTAGCTTATTTATGGTTACATTTAGCTTAAATTTGCTTTCATTTAGCTTTAATTCGGTTACATTTAGCTTACATCTGCTTTCATTTAGCTTACATTTGGTTTCATGTAGCTTACATTTGATTTTATTTAGCTTGCATTTGGTTTCATTTAGCGTACATTTGTTTCATATAGCCTACATTTGGTTTCATTAAAATTACATTTGGTTTCATTTAGCTTATATTTGGTTTCATTTTGTTTGCATTTTGTTTTAGTTAGCGTTCAATTGGTTCCATTTAGCTTACATTTGGTTTCATTTAGCTTACATTTGGTTTCATTTAGCTTACATTTGGTTTCATTTAGCTTACATTTGGTTTCATTGAGCTCACATTTGGTTTCATTTAGCCCATTTATGGTTACATGTAGCTGAAATTTTGTTTCATTTAGCTTACATTTGGTTTCATTTGACTTACATTTAGTTTCATTGAGGTTTAATTTGGTTTCATTGAGCTTAAATTTGGTTTCATTTAGATTACATCTGGTGTCATTTAGCCTACATTTGGTTTCATTAAGCTTACATTTGGTTTCATTTAGCTTATATTTGGTTTCATTTTGTTTGCATTTTGTTTTAGTTAGCTTTCAATTGGTTCCATTTAGCTTACATTTCATTTCTTTTAGCTTATATTTGGTTTCATTTAGCTTACATGTGGTTTCATTTAGCTTACATTTGTTTTTTTTTAGCTTACATTTGGTTTCGCACCAATTGCTAGTCAGTTTTTTATATTTTTCATTTAATTTAGGTAAAGTGTAAAAATAAAAGTACGTAAAATAAATGTACAGGTTCTGTACATGCACTTTGCATTTGTTGCCCATTGGATGGAACACTCATAGAAAATAAGAAGATGAGTCTTTTTTTATCACCCAGTTCCGTTTTTTATTTTGTCCGGGTATGTGTCGATTATGTTGATACTCGGAATTTCTGAATATCCGGGTTAGTACTTGGCTCAGTACCTGGCTCAGTACGAACACAGATGTCATAGTTTAAATAATCAGAAAATAAATAGCCTACAATTAAATACCACAACTATAACCATTTTTCATGTAAGTTAAAAGAGCCCCCCTCCCCCTTCCACGCGATGGAGGCCCATTCCATAAAGTACCGCTTTAGTTTCGTGAGTTAGGGGGGCCTATAAAAATCTTTCAGGTAAATAATGGAGTTATTTTAATTTAAAAGTTGACCCATTAAAATCGATTTAAAAATGCCAGAGATCTAGCCTTTTAAATGATCGAAAATTCTAGACCGGCCCTGAATAGCTTGGATATTATTAGTTTTAAATCCACCGATATTTCAATTTGGTCTATAAAGGGTATTGCTACCAAGCTAGGCCAAGATCGATCAATTCACATAGAACCTATGGTGTTGTCTAAGCCTAAAGTTATTTATAATTATTATATAAGAAACAACGAAATGAATGCCCCGGCCCCAATGGAATGGCTATAATGAGTTCAGTACCCTTCGGTCTTTGAATAAGGATAATCAAGTGTATTTTTGTCTAAGTTTGGTCAAGATCAATGCTTTTATGTACGAGTAATTGTTGGCAATTTGATTCATATAGCTCATATTATGAAAAAAAACGAATTTAGGGCTTCCGGCCCAGAACGGAACATTTTTCAAGGTTAAATACCCCCACGCATTTGATTTTGGATAATGATGGACATGCGTGCTAACATTGGTGAAGATCAATCAATCCATGTAAAAAACATATGTAGAACACACATACAAATCCCAAACATTTTCACGTTTATAGATAGAAATGATATGATATGAAATGATAGATGGAAAATGACATTGGGAATTGGGGAACCCCTACCCAGAAAGGGATACAAGTTATGTGTTCAAAACCCTCTAGTGTTTCAATATAGATATTCAAGTGCTGCAGGTGTACCAAGTTGAAACATTAAATGCAGAAATAATTGCAACAATAACCTAAACAATAACTTTAACAATAACGTTCATAATAACTGGTAGATGAGATATATAGCATTACTCTTGGCGACCGTAAAGACTGCATATAATTTACCATAACAAGGATTGAGTTCTATTATAATTGCCAATGATATCCTTGCTTGTATCATACTGAAAGTGAACGATTTTATTAATTGCAGTTCATGTTAGTTTTGCTTAGTTTTAAACTTGAAAATTGCCCATTAATTTAAAACTTCTTAAAGTAATCAAATGTAAGTGCATCATTGTTTCGTTGTCAAAGATTAACGTTTCTAGTTTTTTTAATTGTAAAAAAATAAAAAAATCAATTTTAATTAATGATATCTTTTGACTGACGTGTAACCTTGTGAATGGTTGATTTGATCGGGTCAACATTGTGAGTGATTAAAGGGCGACGAATGAATGAAAAGTCAAGCTGTGAGTGATTAAAATATGTCCCTATAACCTCGTCAGTATTGGAAGGACTACCAGCTGGAGTGGGACCCGGCCCTCTACGGCAACATTGACTCAATCAGGATCAAACCAGAGAAAGTCTGGGTGCCGGATTTCGTGCTTTTCAACAAGTAAGTCTGCCTCTGTGCGAGTCTGCGCGCCATCCTCTTTGTTGAGTCTGTCTTCCTCTCTGCTCTCTGTCTGCATGCCTCGCCGTAAATATGTCTGCACGTCTCATTGCGATTCTGCTTGCATTCGGTGGGGGTGCTTAATCTCGCTACACTTTGTTAACTGTTGATTCCCAGCATTTAAAGACATAAGAAAGGCAGAAAAGAAAAACGTATTTATTTAAAACAAAACTTTTTACATTTTCATTTTCCTTAAAGTAAATTAACAAGTTTTTATTTTCAAAAATCCAGTCATTTAATGAGATCACGAATCAGGCCGCCAAGCAACAGGCAAGACAAGAAAGCTGGTTTAAGCAACAACTTTCTTCACTCTACAAAAAAACAAAACAAAAAAGCTTTATTATATTTATTTTTTTAACACAGACGATTTTTTTTGGGGAATGTCGCACTGTCTAACATATGTATCAACAGAAGTTATCCGGCTATATATGTATTAGTTTTTAGACTTCGTTTGAATTTCAATGCAAATATTTAACAACTTTGGTAAAGGGACGTCCGCAGAAGTCGATATCAAATTGACTATTTGCACTACATTTGATTTGATTGGACGAGAGGGGTCATGACGCGTTCGACATGTTTGTTTCAACAAGTGAACAGCCGTTTGTTTACAAAGGTACACACGGATTGATGACGCCATCGTCGAAATTTTGTAATACTATTTAAAAGTGAGGTAAAAAAAAACAACAACAGAGACTTTGTTGCAGAACTGTTGTCTTCTTGATTGTTAAGATTATTCAGTTGAAGGTCAGGGTGGACGAGAAATGTAAAAATATAATACGGAGCTAATGGTGAACGGACGCAATATTGAAAAAGATGTGGCCCTGGAAGCATAGGTCAACTTCAACCAGGTATGCCAAATGTTTGACGAGTACACTATATAAAAAAAATATACCTCATGCAGTAGCTAATGAACGAGCTGTTTGATGGGCAGAGTGGCGGGCAGTTTGGTGGGCAGAGTGGTGGGCAGTTTGGTGGGCAGTTTGGTGGAGAGTGTGTTGGGCAGTTTGATTAAATTTGGTTGGCAGTTTGATGGGAAATTTGATGGGCAGTGCAGCTGGCTGTTTGATGGGCAGTCTGATGGACATTTTGGTGAGTTGTTTGATAAGCAGTTTGGTGGGCAGTTTGATGGGAAGTTTACTGGGCTGTTTGATGGGCAGTTTGATGGGCAATCTGATGGGAAATTTAATGGACAGTTTGATTGGCAGTTTGGTGGGCAGTTTGTTTGGCAGTGTGGAAGGCAATTGATGGGAAGTTTGGTAGGTAGTTTGATGGGCAGTCTGATTGACAGTTTGGTGTGCTGTTTGATGGTCAGTTAGGTGGGCAGTTTTGTGGGCAGTTTGATGGGCAGTTTAGTGGGCAGTTTTTGGACAGTGTGGAAGGCTATTGATGGGCAGTTTGATGGACTGTTTGACGGGCAGTTTGGTGAGATGTTTGATGGGCAGTGTGGGTGGCAGTTTGGTGGGCTGTTTTATGGGCAGCTCTGATGGGAGTTTGGTGGGCTGTTTGATGGGCATACTGATGGATATTTTGGTGGGCTGTTTGATAGGCAGTTTGATTGGAGTTTGGTGGACAGTTTGGTGGGCTGTTTAATGGGCAGACTGATGGATATTTTGGTAGGCAGTTTTGATGGGCTGTGTGGTGGGATGTTTGGTGGGCTGTTTGATGGGCAGTTTGATGGGAAGATTGGTGGGCTCTTTGATGGGCAGTCTAATGCACAGTTTGGTGGGCTGTTTGATTGGCCGTTTGATGGGCAGTATGGCGGTTGTTTCGCGGGATATTTGATGGGCACATTGGTGGGCAGTTTTGTGGACAGTTTATTAGGAAGTTTATTGGGCAGTTTATTGGGCAGTTTATTGGGCAGTTTATTGGGCAGTTTATTGGGCAGTTTGATGGGCATTGTGGTGGGCAGTTTGATGGGCATTGTGGTGGCCAGTTTGATGTGCTTTTTGTTGGGTAGTTTGTTGGGCATTTTAATGGGAAGTGTAGTGGCCAATTTAGTGGGCTGTGTGGTGGGCCGTTTAATTGGAAGTTTTATGGGCAGTTGGCTTGGCATTTTGATAGGCGGTATGATGGGAAGTCTGATTAGCACTTTATTGGGCAGTTTGGTTGGCAGTTTCAATGCAGTGAGAAGGCCAGTTGATAGGCGATTCGTAGAGCAGTGTGATGATCAGTTTGGTGGGCTTTTTGATGGGCAGTTTGATGGGCAGTTTGATTGGAAGTTTATTGGGAAGTTTAATAGGCAGTTTGGTGAGAAGTTTGATGAGCATTTTAGTTTGGAGGGAATTTGAGTTGACAGTTTAGTGGGCAGTTTGAATAGCAGTTTGATGGGCATTGTGGTGGGCAGTTAGGTGGGCTGTGGTGGGAAGTTTGATAAGGAGTTTTGTGGGCTCTTTGATTGGCAGTTTGGTGGGAAGTTTGTTTGGCATTGTGGTGGGAAGTCAATGGAAGTTTGAAGGGCAGTTTGGTTTGAAGTTTAATTGGCAGTTTGTGAGTAGTTTTTTGGGCATTTAAGTGGGCAGCTTGAAGGAAAGGTTGGTGGGCAGTTTGGTGAGAAGTTTATGGGACATTTGATCGGCAGTGTGGTGGGCAGTTTGGTGGGAAGTTAGATTGGCTGTTTTTTTGTCAGTTTATTGGGCAGTTGCGTGGGCAGTGTGGTTGATAGTTATTTTCGCAGTGAGGAGGGCAGTTGATGGGCAGTTAATGGGCAAAACGTGGGCAGTTAGAGCGCAGTTTTATGGGTATATATATGGGCAGTTTGGTGAAAGTTTGGTGTTAGGTTTGGTGGGCAGTTTATTGGGCATATTGATGGGAAGTGTGGTGGGCAGTTTTATGGGCAGTCTCGTGGACATTTTGATGGGCAGTTAAGTGGGAAGTTTGATGGGCATTTGGTGGGCAGTAGTTTTATGGGCTGTTTTGTGGCCTGTTTTGTGGGAAGTTTGAGGGGCAGTTTGGTGGGCACTTTAATGGACAAATTTATTTCATATTTGCTGGGCCGTTTGATGGACAGTTTTGTTGGGCAGTTTAGTGGGCTGTGTGGTGGGAAGTTTGATGGACTGTTGGATGTGCATTTTGATGGGCAGTTTTATGGGCAGTATGTTTGGCAGTTTGTTAGGCAGTTTAGTGGGCAGTTAGGTTGGCTGTTGTTTACGCAGTGAGGAGGGCAGTTGATGGGCAGTTTGTAGGCAAACTTACTGCCTCTGACACTAATATTACTTTCGACAAACTTACAGCCTCTGAAATTAATACTACTCTCGACAAACTTACTGCCACTGACACTCATACTACTCTCGACAAACTTACTGCCTCTGAAATTTATACAACTCTCGACAAACTTACAGCCACTGACACTAATACAACTCTCGACAAACTTACTGCCTCTGAAATTAATACGACACTCGACAAACTTACTGCCTCTGAAATTAATACTACTCTCGACAAACTTATTGCCTCTGACACTAATACTACTCTCGACAAACTTACTGCCTCTGAAATTAATACTACTCTCGACAAACTTATTGCCTCTGACACTAATACTACTCTCGACAAACTTACTGCCTCTGAAATTCATACAACTCTCGACAAACTTACAGCCACTGATACTAATACAACTCTCGACAAACTTACTGCCTCTGAAATTAATACGACTCTCGACAAACTTACTGCCTCTGACACTAATACTACTCTCGACAAACTTACTGCCTCTGACACTAATACTACTCTCGACAAACTTACTGCCTCTGACACTAATACTACTCTCGACAAACTTACTGCCTCTGACACTAATACTACTCTCGACAAACTTACTGCCACTGACACTAATACTACTCTCGACAAACCTACTGCCTCTGACACTAATACTACTCTCGACAAACTTACTGCCTCTGACACTAATACTACTCTCAACAAACTTACTGCCTCTGACACTAATACTTCTCTCGACAAACTTACTGCCTCTTACACTAATACTACTCTCGACAAACTTACTGCCTCTGACACTAATACTACTCTCGACAAACTTATTGCCTCTGACACTAATACTACTCTCGACAAACTTACTGCCTCTGACACTAATACTACTCTCGACAAACTTTTTGCCTCTGACACTAATACTACTCTCGACAAACTTATTGCCTCTGACACTAATACTACTCTCGACAAACTTACTGCCACTGACACGAACACCACTTTCGACACACTGACTGCCACTCACAAGCCAGGACTTTCACATTTCACATTACTTCGATAACTACAGATTTGTCAACAAAACTATCTCACCATTTCTCACCCTGAGGTCACGCAGTAATTAAACTGCTCACTTGTCTATTGACCTCTCACAACCCGACCATTGTCACTTCCGGCTAGCAACAGGATGGCGGAATACAAATATGACAAAAGCACTAAAAAAAAAGGAAAGAAATGGGAACTTTAGAGACAAAATAACTTGAAGAAATTTACAGAGTTGTACAACATACACTAAAGACTTTATCCAAAATGAGAATGTATGTTTTTTTAATAAGTATAATTCATTTTGTGAGATGTTAAAATACAACTTAACAGCTTCTTATACCGACATCATGTTTAATATCTTCATAATCCTACAACTATTGTATCGACCCATTGTCTTGTAAGCATGCCACAAAACACGGGTAAAACATCAGAAAGTGTCTAAATCGCACGTGAAGACTGGTCCTGGTGGGCCACGCAAAAGAGGTCATTACGTGATCGAATGGGTAGAAAATCAGATACAGCAAACTTGACGTAGTTTGCGTAAGAGAACAGTGAGACATACAAAAACACTGCTGGTCATCCACGGCATCCTCGTCTTTTCCAGTGGTCTTGTCTAAGTCTCGCCAAGGGATCGAAAACGGCAAGGATGATATATATATATACATAGAGAGAGAGAGAGAATGAGAGAGAGAGAGAGAGGCTGAGGAATTGCGGAACTCTCCCTCACTTTAATCAAAATAATGCACGTGTCAGTATTATTACCTCTCGGTATCTAGGTTACCTTACTTAAGACCACCATTGTTTTTCTAAAATGGAGGTGGAGGATAGAAGAAGTGCTTCAAACACAACACAAAAAATCCGTGGAAGATCAAACCAAAGACGCTAAATGTTGGTGCCTGGAATGTGCAAACTTTGATGGATAGCCCCAAAAGGAATCAGTTAAGATCTGTGAAGTGCACTGGTTTCTATAAAGCTCGTAAGATACAATACCGACAAAGCCGCACTATCACAAACACGCCTTCCAGAAATCAAAGTCAACTTACAGAGCTTGGGGGTGGGTACACTTTCTTCTGGCGAGGCTGCTGCTATAACGAACGACGAGAAGCTGGTGTTGGCTTTGCCATCAAAACAAGCATTGCCCGCACACAGTCGGAATTACCAGAAGTCATCATTGACTGTTTGATGACACTTCAACTCCCTTTTCCAAACAAAAAGGAGCCACTCTCATAAGTGATAATGCTCCAGCGATGCACAATTCAGAGGAAACCAAAAAAAAAACAAAAACAAAAAACGAAGAACTAAACAATGTCACTCCGAAATCTCCAAATTCTGAGAAGCTCGTTATCCGTGGGGACTTCATTGTTAGAGTTGGAACAGACCACCATATATGGGAAGGGGCTATCGGAAGACATGGCCATGGAAAGTGTAACAGCAATGGTCTACTGCTCCTGACCTGTGCATGACACATGACTCCACTATCGCAAACACGCTTTACCGCCTTCACACTGCCTGGATGCATCCGCGTTCAAAACACTGGCACATGATTGACCGTGGTATCCCCAGAAAGAATGTCATACACGATGCTAGAGTAACCAAGGCTATGTGTGGCGCTGAATGCTGGACCGACCATCGACTAATAATGTCCAAATTAAAGTTTCATGTCTTACCCATGAAAATACCTCAAACAAGAAATTTAAAACAAAGCAAGAGAAAGTCCAAATAAAGATGAAGTCAGGAGGACAATCTAGCAACTCTCCTCAAATAAAGACAAATGTAAAGATGCAATGCCTGTTGAAATCTAAAAAGCAGAGGCCCTTCCTGATAAATAGACTGGCGGATCTATTTGAGTCGATATTGAAAGATGATACTGTCCCTAAGCAATTCAATGATGATAATATAATCCGCATATATAAGCAAAAGGATACTCACAAAACCAGTGACAACTATCGAAGCATTTCTTTCCTTCCATAGATGGGGAGAACTTGGTCAGAGTCCTGCTCAAACGTTTACAACTAAACCTTGAACACAGACTACTTCCTGAAAGCCAATGTCTATTCCTGGGCACAGCTGACATGATATTTGGTGCACACCAGCTAAAGGAAAAATGTCCAGAGCAACATAGCAGCCTGATCATCCCCTTTGTCGATTTGAACGAAGCATTTGACTCAGTCACTAGATATGGCCTGTCGAAGAGCATGGAGAAGTTGCTGCCCGAGCAGATTTATGACAATAGTAAGACTCCTCCATGATGGTATGACGATCATTGTGATGTATTCTGGTGATGAGTCAGTTGCTTTGCCTCTAACTAATGGCGTAAAACAAGGCTGTGTTTTCGCCCAAACACTACTTAGCATGGTATTCTCAGCTATGCTGAATTATGCTTTTCTTGACGATCATGACGGCACTCCTATTATAATCCTCTCACATGATTTAAAATCCCACACATAGTTTAATAATCCACACACACTCTAATCATCCTAAATCACAGTTTCATATTTTACCTCAAAGGAAGAGTCTCCTAATACCCCCCCCCCAAACCAGACCACTCAGAGTCATTTTGTATCCTTACTACATACACGCAGACGGAGGGCTATTTAGTCTTTGGAGACTGCAAGCTACTACGAAAGTTAAAGAAATGGCTATTCGATACCTCTTCTTTGCTGATGACTGTGCCTTCAAAATATAAGCTTAGAAATGAAAATACAGCAAATTCTTGATCACTTTGCTTAGCCCTGTGACAATTACGGCCTCGCCATGAATACAAAAAAAAAAAAAAAAAAAAAAAAAAAAAACCAACAACACACAAAACAAAAAAAAAAAAAAAAAAAAAAAAAAAAAAAAAAACAGAGATCTTGCACCAGCCAGCTCCAGGAAAAGCTTATAAAAGAACTTAAAATATTAGTGAAGGGACAGAATCTGCAAGCAGTTGAAAGAGAATCACATATTTGTACAGCCCCCTCTCCAGGTCAGTAACAATAGACGATGAGATCCATAAATGAATTTCCAAAGCAAATGCTGAATTTGAAAGGCTCCGCAGGAGTGTATGGGAGCGAAGGGGCCCCATCTTGTCACTAAGCTAAAGGTATATTGGGCAATCATATTAACATCACTCCTAAATTCTATTGAGACGTGGACAGTGTACTGTAAAGCATGGCAAACCTCTTGGCAGTTCAGAGTCGCTGATTTTTTATCAGCATCCACATGCTTCTACAAAAGGGACAAGCCAGATGGGCAGGACATTTGCAAGAATGCAGGACAGCAGACTTTTCAAACAACTAATTTTCGATAAACTCTCCAATGAGAAACGCCAAGAAAAAACGCTTTAAGGACTGTCTAAAAGCGTCACTTAAATACATTGGCATTGACCTTGATTTGTGTGAGACATTGGCAAAGGACCGTGCCCGATGGCGTGGCAAGCTCACTGTAGGAGCACAAACCTCAGAGAATAAGCATCCCACTCAAGCCCAGAGAAAGCGCATGCCAACAGAAAGCAGCATAGACTCAAATCCAACTAGGACCCAAAGCAACGTGTTTCCTACGTGCGGGAAAGCTTTCCAGGCACACAGGACTGGTGGGCCAGCTGCGTACTCACTGTGTATAATAGCCTTGGTCATCTTGGCAGGCCACCTGCATACTCACTGTGTATAAACCCTTGGTCATCTAGGGAGGCCACCTGCATATTCTGCATATTATGCATATTCACTGTGGATTATAGCCTTGGTTATCTGGGCAACCCACCTGCATATTCACTGTGGATAATAGCTTTGGTCATCTTGGCAGGCCACCTACATACTCACTCTGGATTATAACCTTGGTCATCTTGGCAGGCCACCTGCATACTCACTCTGGATTATAACCTTAGTCATCTTGGCAGGCCACCTGCATATTCACTGTGGATTATAACCTTGGTCATCTTCGCATGCAAAGGACGAATGGCAACAAAGAACAACTAATAAACAACCCAACCAATCAAAACTGGCCCTCACAAAACGATTCAACAACTCATGATCAAAACCATTCCATAAACAACTCGACTCCGCTAACAAACCCAGTTCATAACACCATCTTAGTCCAATTCTCATCTTAAGACCTGGGTATATTATTAGTTACTATGCAACTTATTTGTAAAGCCCAAATTAAGGGAATTCCAGACGAGAACCGAAAGGGGTAAAAAAGTTTTGTATCCCTTAAATTGGGGCTTCAATATGAAAGATATTGGATAAATAACAAGTAAATGGAATTTTTCTTTTAAAAGATTCAGTAATAAACCTATGAAACCGATCATTAGAAACATGTTATTTTCAATCAATACAAAAAAATTACCTTTTATCAATACAAAAACACTCAATTCAGTCACACAAAAAAAACCCCACTGCTTTCAGTCAATACAAAATCATTACTTTCAATTACTACAAAACATTACTTTCCATCAGTACAAAAACACTATTTTCAATCAATACAAACACGATTATGCTGACTTGAGCTCAAAACTTGACTATTTCTTTTATTTCAGTGCCGATGGCAACTACGAGGTGACCTACAAGTCCAACTGCGTCCTGTATCACAACCAGGAGATCAGCTGGATCCCCCCGGCCATCTACCACAGCTCTTGTTCCATTGACGTCATGTACTTTCCTTTCGACCAGCAGACCTGCGAGATGAAGTTCGGCTCCTGGACGCACAAGGGCACGGCCCTGAAGTACAGTTTTTACCTGAACATGAACAAACTCGACCTGACCGACTACCTGAAGAGCGGCAGCTGGGACATCATCGACTGCCCCGGGGACATCGTCACCATCACGGACCAGATCACCGGGGAGGTCAAAGATCAGATCGTGTTCAAGTTCGTTCTACGACGGAAGACTCTGTTCTACACCGTCAACCTCATCATCCCGTGTGTGCTCATCTCATTCGTCAGCATCTGCGTGTTTGCCCTGCCGGCAGAAGGCGGTGAAAAGATAACATTGTGCATCTCCGTTCTGCTGGCTCTCGTCGTTTTTCTGCTCTTGGTCTCCAAGATTCTGCCCCCGTCGCTTACAATACCCCTCATAGCCAAGTACTTGCTGTTCACGTTCATCATGAACCTGATCGCCATTTTTTTCACGGTCGTCATCATCAATCGAAACTACAGGACGCCCAGGACACATCGAATGCCCCACTGGGTGCGCGTGCTGTTTCTCCGCGAGCTACCCCGCTACCTGTTCATCAAGCGACCTGACCACATGAATCGCTGGGAAGGCAAGACCTTCACCCCTCCACCGTCATTCCATTCCACACCCGAGCCGAGACGCGTCAACGTTAATCTGGGTCGAGACAATGATTTCCTGGAGCTGACGGAGGTGCACCACCCTCACTGTAAGCTCAGTTCCGTGGCGCACAACCACAAGGAGTGTTTGAGGGCACAAGGCAGCAGTGGCAGCAGTACAGGGGCGGAGAAGTCGTCGCGGTCAGTTCCCCTGTCCGGAGACGGGGAGGAGTCCATGCAATTCACCATGACACCAGAGCTTCACAAGACAGTCGAGGCGGTCAAATTTATTTATCAGCATCTCAAGAATGAAGAGGAATATGAGACTGTAAGTGGTGTAAGAGTAAAATATGAGACTGTAAGTGGTGCACGAGTAAACTATGAGACTGTAAGTGGTGTAAGAGTACAATATGAGACTGTAAGTGGTGTAAGAGTAAAATATGAGACTGTAAGTGGTGCAAGAGTAAAATATGAGACTGAAAGTGATGTAAGAGTAAAATATGTGACTTTAAGTGGTGTAAGAGTAAACTATGAGACTGTAAGTGCTGCAAGAGTAAAATATGAGACTGTATGTGGTGTAAGAGTAAAATATGAGACTGTAAGTGGTGTAAGAGTAAAATATGAACATGTAAGTGGTGTAAGAGTAAATATGAGACTGTAAGTGGTGTAAGAGTAAAATATGAGACCAAGTGGTGTGAGAGTAAAATATGAGACTGTAAATGGTGTAAGAGTAAATTATGAGCCTGTAAGTGGTGTAAGAGTAATATATGAGACTATAAGTGGTGTAAGAGTAATATATGAGACTATAAGTGGGAGTAAAATATAGTTCTGGGAGTGAAAGATATGATAATTTTTTTTAAAGATACAATGATACTGTGTGTATGTATTTAGTAAGAATAAATTGTGATAATGAGTGTGTGTGTGGGGGGGGGGGAGTAAATTAGGAGACTAGTCATTTAGATAAAATATGAAACTTTGATATATGATTATTAAACTGTGAGTGGGGAGTATTAGACTGTGTGGGGAGTATTAGACTGTGTGGGGAGTATTAGACTATGTGGGGAGTATTAGACTGTGTGGGGAGTATTGGACTGTGTGGGGAGTATTAGACTGTGTGGGAGCATTAGACTGTGTGGGGAGTATTAGACTGTGTGGGGAGTATTAGACTGTATGGGGAGTATTAGACTGTGTGGGGAGTATTACACTGTTTACGGTGCTACAATAAATAAAATAAATAACACACCGGCACGAAGTAAAACGTGTTGATCACTCATTACGACATGGTCTGTTCTATTTTGTTCATAACTTTGTATCTCTACCTTGTCTCACAGGTCCTTGAGGACTGGAAATACGTTGCCAGAGTCCTGGACAGGCTGCTTCTTTTGATCTTCCTGTTGGTCACTCTCATCGGGACTGCCGGGATCCTGCTGAACGCTCCTCACATTCTGGAATATGTGGACCAGGACCAGATCATCCAAGGGTTGCTCGACTACATAGCAAAGGCCAAAAAATCTCAGACGGTTTAAAGTGGACAGATTTTCATCATTTAAAAACTGAATTAACTTTTGAAAATAGTGTGGTACCGTAGTTATGGAATGGATACAACGTCATTATGCACAGTATACACAGTGAGTCTGATTGATACTAGAATTCAAAAGTAAAATTGTGATGGTGTGAAGTGCCTCATTAGGATAGGTTCGATAATTTGAAGATTGACAAGGGGAAATAGTCCAATGTAATGTCCCATTACTAAAAGATTGTTAGTTTGTTATGTTATTTTATAATACTCATCAGCGATGCATAATATGATATTAAATCAGATTATTACAAGATCAGTTGGTGCTGGACTGAGGCAATCCAAAATAACATCTGGTGGTCTAGAGTTCAATCCCCACCAAAGCCAAGACAAGCTAAAACATCCACAGGACCCCGGGTGGATGGAACTCGTTAACCTTGGACTCATCTAAGAGGAGGCAAACTCTCACTTCGAACCCGGAGATGGAGTCCCGTAGGCGGATAACATTGACACAATGAAAACTCCTGCGACGCTAATGGTGCCAAGCTGTATCATCCACACATGATGTTCCCATGACATCCAGGTGCCCGGAGAGTGGCGATTCGCTGTCTGGGGAAGTAGCTTATCATCCTAAAGGAAATCCCCAGGCTTTGTGATTTCAACCTGCGAGGTCCCCACCATTGTGTTGGGTTTGATGTTTACAAATGCATCTAAGTCTTTGATCTGTTGATATGTGATCATGAAATCGTTGACCTGTTGATATGAGATCAATAAATAGTTCATATTTTTTTATGTGTGACCAAGAAATCGTTGTAATGTGATCAATAAATCGGTAATCTGTTGATACTAGATCAAGAAAGCATTAATCTGTGAACCAGAAATCTCTGATCTGTTGATATGTGATCAAGAAATCATTGATCTGTTGATCTGTGATCAAGAAATCATTGATCTTGTGATATGACATCAAGAAATTATCGATCTGTTGATATGACATCAAGAAATCGTTGATCTGTAGATATGTCATCAAGAAATCTTATCATAACTGAAAATTAAATCATCTTTTGCTTCTAAGCCTGACCTTTTCTTACAGCATCTTTGTTATTCTCAGAGTAGTTGAGATCAAATTGAACTAATAGAAACGTCTAACAACAGTTGCACCTTAGTTCAACCACTTCTGTTCGTTTTTCTTTGGTGTCATTTGTCGTAAAACTGTAACATTCCACGAGAGTGAATCTCCACGTCATGTGTTTACTGTCCCCATCGTAGATATCTTAATATGGCATCTAGGCTCAAGGCAAAAAAATGAAACACATTCAGACTTTTTACTCACCTGTCCCAGGTAGCACCTACATTTTTGTTAACGTACTCATAGCTTTGATAGCGGGCACAACACATGGAACTTTTCCTATTCCTAAAAAAAAACCACACGTTATATTATCTGCACTCTGTGTTTACCTGGCCTTCTCTGACACGTTACCAACGCAGTGTAACGGGTTTTCGGAAACTTTCTTACCTTTCATGTTTCAACGTTTCCCTCCTCTACTTATATCCAACTAAACGACTCTTGTGTCAAACAAACTTTTCCCCTTTCAATCGATTCTTAGTATACAATGTCTCCAGGCACCAGGTAAGTATACTCTGCCAATGCCACTCCATTGTAGCCAAAATACCATTGTCTAAAAAGAAAATTAAGCAATAAGGAAATACCTTCCTTCACATGCCCTTACTCCCTTACCATGCAATTCCTTCTTTCATATGTAATTCATTTCTACACATGACATTCTTCCCTTCCTTTGACATCCCTCCCTTCCCATGACATTCTTCCCTTCCCATGACATCCCTACCTTCCCATGACATTCTTCCTTTCCTATGACATCCCTCTCTTCCCATGACATTCTTCCCTTCCTATGACATTTCTACCTTCCCATGACATTCTTCTCTTCCTATGACACCCCTCTCTTCCCATGACATTCTTCCCTTCCTATGACACCCTTCCCATCCCATTCTTCCCTTTCTATGACATCCCTTCCTTCCCATGACATTCTTCCCTTCCTATGACATTCCTCCCTTCCCATGACATTCTTCCCTTCCCATGACATCCCTACCTTCCCATGACATTCTTCCTTTCCTATGACACCCCTCTCTTCCCATGACATTCTTCCCTTCCTATGACACCCTTCCCATCCCATTCTTCCCTTTCTATGACATCCCTTCCTTCCCATGACATTCTTCCCTTCCTATGACATTCCTCCCTTCCCATGATATTCTTCCCTTTCTATGACATCCCTCCCTTCCCATGACATTCTTCCCTTCCTATGACATTCCTCCCTTCCCATGATATTCTTCCTTTCCTATGACATCCCTTCCTTCTCATGCAATTCTTCCCTTCCGAAGCCATTCTTCTCTTCCTATGACATCCCTCCCTTCCCATGACATTTTCACTTCCTATGACATCCCTCCCTTCCCATACCATTCTTCCCTTCCTATGACATCCCTCCCTTCCCATGAGATTCCCCCTTCCTATGACATCCCACCTTTCTCATGCCATTCTTCCCTTCTCATGCCATTCTTCCCTTCCTATGACATACCTCCCTTCCCATGACATTTTCACTTCCTATGATATCCATCTTTTCCCATGCCATTCTTCCCTTCCCATGACATCCCTCCCTTCCCATGACATTCCCCCCTCTCTATGACATCCCTCTCTTCCCATCCCATTCTTCCACTCCCGTGACATTCCTCCCTCACAATGTCATACTTCACTCCCAATGCCATTTTCCCTTTCCAAGACATTCCTCTTTTCCAATGCCATTCTTTCCTTCCTATTTCTTCCTTTCCTATCTATGACCCGTTAATCCGCAAGTATGCAATGCACCTAGAAATCAATAGAAACAATGAGCAACAGTTGCCCAATGAAAAACCAAAACTGCGTGGCTTTTCTGAAATTAATTCCATGGTACATGTGAAAGTGCATTGACAAAATATGTAAATAATGCCCCCTCCCCTCCTGTTTTTTTTTAAAGATTGGTATATTGTACGACACCTCTGGTTTCTATCTGAAAGTAGCTTGTATACAACACCTCTGGTTTCTATCTGAAAGTAGCTTGTATACAACACCTCTGGTTTCTATCTGAAAGTAGCTTGTATACAACACCTCTGGTTTCTATCTGAAAGTAGCTTACGTACGACACCTCTGGTTTCTATCTGAAAGTAGCTTACGTACGACACCTCTGGTTTCCATCTGAAAGTAGCTTATGTACGACATATCTGGTTTCTATCTGAAAGTAGCTAATGTACGACACCTCTGGATTTCATTATTTTTTAAAAAGTACATCTATGTACAAAACTCCCGATATATGCAGTGTAACGCCCTTTCTCACTCCTCTGATTCCTACACCAGAGTACCACTATGTGCAACACCTCTCCCAACCATGAGTTTCTTGATATCACAATCCCCTGTTAACAATACAAAAGTACTCCCGCATCACAGTGCCACATCAGAGTGCCCCATAAGTGCCACATTAGGGTGTCACTTCAAAGCACTGCATCAGTGGGCCGAATCAAAGGGCTGCATCAAAGTACCACATCCGAGAACCGTGTCACATCACCACATCAGAGTGCCGCATCAGAGTGCCGCATCAACGTACAGTATCGGGGTGCCGCGTCGGAGAAACCACGTTATTAAGTTTCGATCTCTTCATTGACCAGTCAGAAAAAACAAGCCATTCGATCCTGTAATACAATCCTTGCCTCCCTCCCATTGAGATGACCCCTACGTGCGCCCAGGGTTGTGCTTGCGGCTACCAGAGATCAATGAGCGGAGGGGTAGCCACGCTGGCCGTCTAATGAGGTTACGATAGGTTTAGTGTTCAATTGCTAGATAAAACACAGCTCCTACTGTAACACAGACACATCCGTGAGACCTACTGTAAACACAGGCGCATCCGTGAGACCTACTGTAAACACAGACACATCCGTGAGACCTACTGTAACACAGACACATCCGTGAGACCTACTGTAAACACAGACACATCCGTGAGACCTACTGTAAACACAGGCGCATCCGTGAGACCTACTGTAAACACAGACACATCCGTGAGACCTACTGTAAACACAGGCGCATCCGTGAGACCTACTGTAAACACAGACACATCCGTGAGACCTACTGTAAACACAGGCGCATCCGTGAGACCTACTGTAAACACAGGCGCATCTGTTAGACCTACTGTAACATAGACACATCTATTAGACCTACTGTAACATAGACACATCTATTAGACCTACTGTAACATAGACACATCTATTAGACCTACTGTAACATAGACACATCTATTAGACCTACTGTAACATAGACACATCTATTAGACCTACTGTAACACAGACACATCCGTTAGATCTACTATAACTTAGACGCATCTGTTGGACACTTGCATATGTAAACCCAGTGTATTTTTTATTATCTCACTTGATATTTTTGAAAATATATTTAGTATAGATTTATGAATTTTTTTTTTATTTTTATAAACTTTCGAAGTTTGTGATTGAAATAAAATAGAATTATTAATAATTATAAATTACTAAAGAAAGATTATTCTTATATAAGGAGCATTAATGTGAACATTTAATAGTTTTGTAAATACTTTTGATTTTTCGTTTGGAGGGGGGGGTGGGTGAGAATGAAAAAAGAAGGGCAATAAAGTAATTGTTGGTAAATTCAGTTAATTTGAGAAAGTAACTTTATTCTTTAACTGACATGGTATAGAAAGAGAAACGGTATTTTATTTCTTAAATTGTGATAAAACAATACACCTCCCAAAAACCTTCCATCGATTTTTAGCTCGTAAACAATACATCTCGTGATACATTAGCAGTATCTCATACTTACTAGACTGTCTTAAACTTACTAGACTGTCACATATTCTTTAGACTGTCTCATATTTACTAGACTGTCTCAAACTTACTAGACTGTCTCATATTTTCTAGACTGTCTCATATTTACTAAACTGTCTCAAACTTACTAGACTGTCTCAGAAAACTAGACTGTCTTGTACCTACTAGACTGTGTCGGACTTACTAGAACGTCTCTCATTTACTAGTCTGTCTTATAATTACTAGACTGTCTCTGATTTACTAGATTGCATTATAATAACTAGACTGTATCGAGCTTACTAAACCTTTTCAGACATACTAGACTGTCTCAGACATACTAGACTGTCTCAGGGTTGCGAGACTGACTAGCAGGTGTTATTTTGTTATCCGCAATTTAATGTTTTGACACTTGTATAGACACATGCACGCAGCCTGTTCATTCTCTGAGTCAGATGTCTTCAGTGGTCCCCCGTGTTACAATGGCCTGCCCGACAATGGTCAAACCCTTTTACCGATTGTGTAAAAAGAACTCTGTTCAGAGACGTTACTGGTCAATCATCAAGCCTAATTGACATAGAGGACAAGTGGTTTACAAGACAGTTATCCGAACATATTTTCACCCATTTCAATATTAATATGATATACAAAGACATTTTTGAGCGCTTGTAGGATATTCTTTTGATGGAACTCGCGTGCATTTAGAAAAAAAGGGGCAATCTGTTTTATGAAGGACGATCTAACTCAGCTGAAAACTTAATCTGAAGCCAAAGAACACGACCTCGTAATAAGAATGGCTGCAGAGAGAAATTTCATGACATTGTCCTGCAACTATCGAAAGCAGAAGAAGCTCATTTCATCCATTTTAATTTGGAAGAACTTTAATATGTGTGTTTGTCTGTGTGTGTGTGTGTTTGT